CTCTTTGGTACTGAATCACTAGCTTCTAATTCCGAAGTGCAATATAACATGATCAGATCTAGTTCACTGCCAAAGTCATCTGTTTGCCTAAGAAGGGATGTAGCATTTCTTGACTTGCAGTGGTTGGTATTTTTAAGGACATTAACAAAACCAGTTTGTTAAATTGAAGTGATAAATGAATGCTATAGAGTTTTTGGTCACCCACATTGGGTGAAAAGTGAGGTATATTCTAAAGTGTATCCATTACTAACTCTTGAGGTTTTGAGAATTGGTACAACATCCTTTAAATCCACTGTGGAAAATCTGACTAGAGACTATACAATAATGGGTTTGAGTCTGTAGTGCTACTACTGTTTCATGCGATTATGATATTTAGTATTTCGGTCTATTTTTTTCAGTGTGTAGAATTTTTAGATTAACACAGGAAATCAAACCTTTCATGTAGTGACCTTCTCTGAGTATGCTGCATTAAGGTTGAATAACTTGACCCTTGGCTTTTGCAAAGTAACTGAAGATTTAATGTAGCATTTGAATATCCAAAAAACTGTTACAGGTTTAGGTGGCCCTTTCTAGTCCACAAAGGAAATGTGTATTTGCTATGATACAAATATGTTGACAATGTAACATTTTATTCCTTCTTCACAAAAATTTTTTTGCCTTTTTTGGTTTTGCTCGTGCGTTAAGTCAGTAGAGCATTGTTTGCACAAGCAGACAATTAAGATACTAATCAATGCGCAGCATTTTGGGTTTCTTAGTCACATAGTAAATACTTGTAACATAAACAGGAGTATTTTCAGTAACTATGAACTTGTTTCAGAGGTCTTCGGTACATTTAAGGAGAGCAATATACATTTGAAGTAATTTTTATTAAATTATAGAACTTGAAAAAAAAAATGGGTATTGTGGCACAGTAATTTTATACTGGTATCAAATATATAGCTATTAAGCTATGCTTTTGTTTTCAATTAATTTTTGTCATCCTAGTTCAAATTTGATTGATTTTATTAGGTTGTATTTTTATATATATAAACACAATTTCAATGTAAGTACTGAGTTCATTCTGGTATTTAGAATTTTGGAATAAAATACCTCTTAATAACAGGAATTCTGTGTTTTTTTTAATACTAGGCATTTTTTTTAAATGCATTTAATTCACCTGAAAATATTTCATAGTATATGTTTGTAGTCCACAGTTATGTACTAAATATGAATAGGTCACATTTATACAACTTTTTGATTCTCAGCTAAAGCGGCACATATTAACCTTGAGTCAAAAAATTTTGTAATCACAAGCAAGAAGGGATGAAAGATATATTATATATATATATATAAATATATTAATATTATATTATGTAGTCGCAAGTTACATTCTGTCACCAGAAAACGGATTTATTACAAAAAATTTTGTATACTGAAAATAAGTATTTCAGATTTTGTAGCTGCCCCATCCCTGTAGAAAATGGTGAATTCTTGTCCTTTGGTTAGGAAAACTCTCATGAGAGGTGGTGTTGCTTTTCTTGCTTTATTATTCTAATTAGCAATCATATTCATCTTTGTGAGTGGGGCGACAGTAAATATTTTGTGTCACAGTAAAGGCAAACATGTTTATTTTACATTGCTAGAACACTGATTTAGAAATAAACGTTGGTGCTTGTGAACTCTTAAGAAAACTCCGAACTACTGAGTTCCTTGGATTGCTATTAGAGAATTTGTTAACCTAAAGAAAATATTTAAAGCAGACACTTAAAAGATGAAAAGGCAATATTTGTTTTAGTTAACAGCTTCCAGTGGCTTCACAGTAGCTACACTTAATGTACGTAAGAAACATCCCCGCAGTAGTCAAAAGATTACTCTATTGGTTCAATACATGCTGCAGCCAACACAGGCCCAGTTTTTGTTAAATAAGATACCGTCAGTTAGTTACCAGCACAGCGATCACTACATCTGTTTAGCAGTTTCAAATTAATGCATTACTGAGAAATTAGTGACAGCAGCTGTCTCGTGACAGCAGCAAGGCCACAGAGTGGTTTTTCAAATTCCCATCTTAAACCATAACCACCTTGAACAAAATGATGGTCCATGTCTTGAGGTTATTTACTTCAATACAACTCCACTGCCTCCACTTGAGTTATGCTGCTTTACACTGTCCAGGTTTCTGACTCTTTGCATGCATGTATGATATTTTTTTGTATGCTTTTATCATTAGTGAGTTTGTAAGTTAATTACTAATACATAAATACTTTTTATGTATTAGTACATTAATATATTTTTAAACTGTCAGTTCCAGTAACTTTAAGAACATGGTGAAGAATTGAAAATACTTCATTTTTTTTTACAAAAAAGTTTGTATGAATGTTTCATCAACATATTGTCTCATGAACATAAAGCATTAGGTTTAGTGCTATTAGCAGCCCATCTTCTCAAAAGGTATCTCACAATCAGACTGGTTTACTGCATCTTTCTGCTACATTTTCTACATTTTTTTGGTGCTGAATCATCACCTCTTTTGATAGACATACAGGACATTTTAAAACTAAGCTTGCAGGATACAGATGAGCACCAGCGACCTTCCAAATGTGAGAAACAAAAAAAAATCAGACAGTAAAATACCACATTACTAGACTTTACAATTTCACGTGCAGACCATGTCTGTATGTTACTGTTTTTCAGATTCTTACCTACATTTACATTTGTGTCATTTGTATACACGCTTTTCAGTCCCTCACACAATGCCAGATGCCATGTTACATCTCTTCAGTGGTTGATGACAACGGTTATAATTTGTTGAAAGTTCGAAGAGTGTATATGAGCAACCTTTAAAGACTGCAGGAGTTACTGCTGGACTTATTTCCTCAAGTAAATACTCAGGTAATTGAAATACACTACGTTCATTTCTTTTCAAAGAAGATTTGGTTAAGAAAACAATCATGAAGTGGGTGTTATTCTGTACTCTAATCCCTTCTCAGTAATTTATGTAAATGCAGTACAAACAATTGATTTCCACATGCGTTATCTCCTTGTGGAGACATTTGCAATACAACTTTTATCACGTAATTCACAGATTCCTTTCAGAACTGTATAAATTAATAATTGTGCATATTCACATCATCGACATTAATTTAAAATGTTGCAGCTGCCAACTTGGTTCAACTATTCTTCCCCAAATAAACTTAATCTATATCTTTCTGAAAGCCCAAGTCAATAAATACTTGGAAATGAACATGTATGTGATCCACACTTTCTCAATAGCACATACTCATTCATTAGACAAATTTATTAACAAAGGAAGGAAATTGCTCAAAGCGTCGGCTAGCTTTCTGTAGACCCCTTTCTTCCACCTGAGAAGGCGCAGTGTTGCAGAGATTCCAAAATGAATTCAATTCCAACAGAGGCTGTGCCTCAGAAGCCTCCTCTTCTTTGCAGTGCCCAGATAAAAGGTTGAAAGAGGAAGCTGGGTGAGAGGATATTAACTAGGCAAGTAGGCACTGAACAAATGCTTTCTGAACAAAAGAGGGAATCTGTCCTGCTTGTGAGCTGCTGGAGGAGAGTTCCATGTCAAGTAAATGATTGTTTTATCGGTCTGGTTTTGTGTTCTTTTGCTTACTTAAAAGAAAGGTCTCATCAAATCAAATAAAGTTTTCATGGCACAAGGGGTTTGGTGCTGATGAAGATAAGGGAGACTGACAAACTATTCTAAAGAAAAGTATTGAGGAGTACCTGCTGAGGAGGGTGTGCATTTCCTACTGCAGCATTACTCTGCAGGCAGTGATGATTCACAGTGCACGACTGGGTGAAGTCAGTCCGTTCTTCAGCGGTCCCAAAAGGGGCCATCAGCAACTGCGATAAAAGTAAATTGTATTTTCTATGTCAATCCCAACTCATATTTCAAGTCATTGTTGATGGCAGTGAAATTATTGCAGTGTAGTGTATAGAATTAAATCATAAGGAAAAATTTATTTTCTTTAGATTTTGTAAGTGATCTGTTAAAAAGATGTACTGTAACCTGGCAGTTCCTTCTTTCAGTAAGGCAAAATTTCTACTTTGTAGTTTGTAATTCTGTTCCCCTCCATTTTCCGCTGCATTGAAATTTTCTGATCTCTGAAAACTACAGAATTTGGCCTAATATGTCATGATGCCACAAATACTTTTATTTGGCAAATCTTTATTTTATTAAAAGGCAAATAAAGTTAGTTTATACTTTTCAAAGAAATTTATATTCACTGCTCAAACATACGTTAAAAACACAGTATCATCCAGTTCTGAAAGCCCCTACAGCGGACGTCTGCCTCACTGAAATCACGGCATGGGCACACTCAACACTAGTGTGAAATTCCTTGGGTGGTTTGGCTCTCAACCACGCAGAGGGCTGCGTGCTCTGGGTGCCTTTGGTTTGTCCAGACATGCTGCCTTTGCTCAGGTGTAAACTGTTTTATCTGCTGTGAACTTCAGTCATTTTTCCATGATCCCACCCTAGGTCATGTCTACATGCATTCTAGTTTTACCTGAGTTAATGTGCATCCTCCATTCTAAAAAAAAAACGTAGGATGTTTGCTATGAGGACTGTTAATGCGAGCAGGCGTGTAAGTCAGGCAAAGAGATGCCTGTGTGTGGAATCAGAGCTTTAGGGGGATGCTACTGGTACAGCTCCCGGGACTGCCACGCTGACCACACTTCCCAGCGCCCGAGTGGAGCCGAGTTCCCAGTTGGCCCGGGGCGATCCCAAGTTTCTGCCCGCAACAGGCCGGGCTGCGCAGGGGCCGCCGAACGCGCTTTCGCACGCTCGGCACCGAGTGTCAGAACCGGCCGAAAGGCGCCCGGTCCGGCGGGCTGAGGGAGCGCGCAGGCGGCGCGGCTTAACGCCCCCGACGGGCGGCTGTCAGGACCGCAGCCCCGCGCCCTCCCCTCCCCTCAGCCGTTACCGCCTCAGCAGCGCCGCGCGGCCCCGCGCCTCAGGGACACGGGTGGCCCCGCCCGGCGCTCAGCGCTCCGCCCCTCTCCCCGTTCACGCGTGGGGGGGCGGCCCCTCGCCGCCGCAGTCCCGCCGCTGAAGCTGCGGGTCTCGGCTTCCCGCCCGCGTCCTCACCCGCAATATGCCTCCGCTGCCCTCGGGCTGCTCGCCATGCCGGGGACCTGCGGGCGCCTCTCCTCCCTGCTCCTGGGGCTGGCGGCCGCGCTGCTGCTGCTGACGGGGCGGCCGCCTCCCGCCGCCGCCGCCGCCGCCACCCGCCCGCAGCAGCAGCGGGCGGCGCTGCCGGGGGGCGCTCCCGCCGCCGCGGCGGCCTCAGGTACCGATCCACACCCCGCTCCCCTTCCCCTCCGCTGCCCCTTTTTCCCGCCTTTCCCTCTGGGGATTTCCCTCTTCTCCGGCGCCCCCTCAGCCCCGCCGCGTCCCGCTCCTCCCGGGTGGGGGGTTCCGCCGTCGCTGCTCGTCTGGGAACCTGGGGGGTCGTGCTGCCCGGGCGGCATTCCTGAAGAAAAAAAAAAAAAATAAAACCAAAAAACCCAAGCCGCCACGTTTTTAAGGAAGCAGGTAGCTGTGGGGCGAGCGGGATCCATCTTTAATAGCCGCAGATGCGTATGCGTGTCCTCGGTGCGCCGGAAAATCCACCCGGTAACCGTGTAGCCTGTTTGTGAGCGAGCCGGGGATGCTCCCTCATAGAGCCGGGGAAAGGGTCTCGGGGGGGAAGCCTGGCGCCATGAATTCCGATTTGCTGGCAGGAGGCACCAGAGAAAAATATACATATGTATATATACACATAAAAAATTAGAAATATATCTCTATAAATATATTTATTTTTATATTTATATCAATATTAAAAAAAAAAACCAAACAAAAACCCCAAAAACAACAGCTGATGCATGTGCAATGCCTTAAGCCTATCAAATTAGTGATGGGGCTGGTGAGCTCATTAGTTTTTGCATCTCCTCTGCAGAATGAGGAAATATGTCCTTTATCTGGCAGCTGAGCATGTGAAAATAATGGGCTTATTTCGGTACTAGGCCTTAGTATTTAGGTCAAATGTGTGAGGTTAGCCCTTTGCAGAACTGAGGCAAGTGATAAGATGTTGGTTCTATTATCTGGTTTGGAAAAAATGTATATATTCTGAAGTCTTAGTTGCTTAAATTAGGATAAAGCCGGTATTTTTCTTGACATACTTATTTTCACCAAAGAATTTCAAAATGGTTTCAAACATGAATTATTTAAGACCTTTTAGCACCAAGTCTCCGTTTGGGCATATCACTAGAGCATATGTTTCATTTTTAACATACATGCATGTTTCTATTTCTAGTTGACTTCAAGAAGGTATAAAATGTTCTTAGTTTCAGGCATATGGCTAATATTTTGCTGAAGTGAAGCCAATTTACAAAGCTGCCAAAGTATGTATGTTAATGAAATACAAGCAAAGATCTTGAATTAGGGTCTTTACTTGTGACTTCTTAAAGATGTAGGACAAGAAACTAGATTTGGTAGAATATGAACACACTCTTAAATTCTCCTGATACACTCCTAAAATGCCTTGATTTGCTTTTTGGTTTCTTCCTTGTGTGGGTTCGGTTTTTAGTGGGTTTTGTTTGGTTGGGTTTTTTGGTTTTTTTTTTTTTTTCTTTACAAACATTTAAACTATAGGACTTTAAAGAAGAGTATTTGATGAACAGCTTGGTTCTTGTTTTTCCTTTTGAACTGATGATTTTTCCTTATTTTATTTATCATGCTTTTAGAGGAATATACCATTAATCACCAGCAAACCCCACTTAAAAGGCATTGACAGCATTTCTAACTTGTGCGGTGAACATCTTGCTCATTAAAAATTGAGTGGCAAAAAAAAAAGAAAAGGGGCAGTTTTTGTAATTCAATGATCTTCTTTGGTTTCAGGTATTGATTTCTTCTGAAGAAGCTCTGTTACCTTATTGGCCTCAACTCTGGCCAAAATCTCTGTTGGTACCAAACAATTTGATGCTGATGCTACTGGTTTGCTGTTGTTGCTGTTGCAGACCCATGAGCCTAGTTTCTGTTGCTTTCTTTTATTTGCTTATTATGCTTCATAGGTTTTGAGGTATGAGAGTCCTGAAAGTGTCTTATAGTACACAGCTTTCTTGATCAATCCCAGTTTATGAACATTAAAAAATATCATTTGAACTGATCCTTAGCATTTATTTGTTATGGTTAAATACAGTAAAAGCTTTATTATACTTGCTGGCTAGCTTTCTAAATGATCTTGATTAATTATTCTTTCATTAAAAAATTGGAAAAAGCCAATACTGATTAATCTTTTTAAAAGACAAGCTAATCACTGCTGTGAAACTCGCATTATTCTGAAGCAGCTGCTAAGCACCTTTTGTTTTTTCTGTGGTATTTCCTTTCAGTGAAGCACATAAGTAATTTTTGCTATATTGACATTTTTGAATTTTTAAAGAGAAAGAGCCTGAATAGAGGTACATTTTTATCAGATACTAATGTCTTTTTCCATGAAATTATCTTTTGTTGGTTTACAGCCGAAAGGTAGGCAGGACAAATGGCTGTTGCCTTTCCAGCAGAAGACTGGTAGCAGGGTAATCCCTGAGGGAGATGCTCTGAAGAGGCCACTCCTGCCGCAGCTGCGGGTCCTGTGCTGGGAACTGCCAGGCAGGCAGTGGTTTCTGGAAATAAGGAGGGAGTCCGGCTGAATTTGGATTTATGCTGTGTGTTTGTGACCCCGGTGTTGCTGGAGCAAGGGAGCCTTATCCTCCTGAAAGAGGGAAGGTGCAGAGCTAAGGTTGGAGTTCTAAACCTTTTCTCATTTGACGTTCCTGTATTGATGTCCCTGTTCTCTTGAAGCTAATTATACAGTTTTACAGATCAATTCCCTCCTGGATTAACGGATTTCTGCCAGTGTAATTATTCTGCTGTCTGAGAAGAGATGCTAAAGTCAGCACAGCTGTGTACAAAGGTTTGGGGTGCAGACTCTACTGCTGACATGTAAATGTAGCAGTGGGAAGGTAGTTGCACATCACGACAGAACAGGGTTTTTTTTGTTGTTGACCTCTTCTTTCTTCTCCCTTAAAACCAACAATAAACATAGCACTGCTAAAAGAAATAAGTATATTCTAAAGACGAGGCACAGAAGACATACCTAAGAGGGGCTCAGTTCATGGAGTTACTCTGACTTTTGTTATCCAATGGATGTAGCTATTCTTCCAAACTTTATTAAAACAGTCTTTAGGGAGAGAGAGATGGGCCTCTCTGCTTAGGGTGGTGATAGCTGAAGTGGAGAACCTGTCTTGGTTCATTGTTATTTATAGTGAGTTTTCGTTTTCGGTGTGACAGTTTAGCGATCTGGACTCAGGTGTGCAGAGGCAATTGAAGACAAGTTGCTGAGAGCTTCGAATACTCCTCATTGAGGTCAGCGGTCTTGAGCACAGAATTCAGTGAATTATCGTCCTGGCTTTGATCCAGGCAAATCTTTTTCTGTTTTTCTTTTTTCCTTTTGTTTATCTTTATTGAGATGCATTCTTTACAGGAGGTAGGAGTTGTATTATTTAATATTCACAGTGCTTGGGATATTCTGGATGTGGTGCATTGTTATTCCCTTTACAATGCAGATATTGTGCAATAAACAGAGCAGAGACCACTAATTGAATAAGTGATACTTAACTGCATCAGTTCCATGGCAGATCTGACGTGTACTGAATGAACAAGATTCTTCTGGAAAAAACAGCAGTTGTGTAAATAGAAGCTATCACATCATGTATATATAGACAGCACACAGGATGGATGACATACACCATCTTAATGCTGGAAATTTTTTTCCATGTTGAGATCTCAAATTAGACTTGAAGTACGTTTTAAAATAGGTGTTACTTCTTCAAGTTTCTGTCATGTAACTTCATGCTCTACGCTGGGGCTACTCTCCATACCTTTTCTAATCCCAGCATAAACAAGAAAAGACTTGTTATTGTATTATAAACCATTCCCAATCTGCCTCACATTCTAGAATTCAAGGAAAAATAAATTTATTTTGCCTTTTTTTCTTTTTTTTCAGGCAGGTAGCTTTGCGTAAAATGGGAAGATTAGCTTGATTTTTATAGGGTGAGATTAAAAAGCAACAGCAGCTAATAGTGGTCGTGAACAGAGGAGAAAAGATATTTGGAATCGCTGTGCATACTTACACACTTAGTTCTGTTTGTTGAGACTGATGAGATAAATATGTAATTGTTGGCAAACTCAGAAGAAAATAAGAGGTTACTTTTGCACCTGTCTTAGATAAATATGCTGTCTAGGTGCTGCCTGTGGAATCTGTGTTCATTTCTCAATATTATCTGCTTGCATGTGACGTTGAGTTGCTATCTAATGTGTAGCAGTGTTCTAGACAGGAGCTTTCTAGTTAAGATTTTTCTAAAGTCTTTTGTACATTGTCTTACTCTTCCTGATCATTCAAGGAGGAGACAACTTTCTCGTGCTTCCTTCTTGTTTGAGATACTAGGACAGAAATATTTCTCTGACACATCCCTGTGTGACTTACTGCTCTCCTTATCTTTGTTTTCAGTATTTCTAGTTGGGAAATATTTTTCCTAATGATATGTATATTGGTGTGTAGGTGGTACTCAGGTGTTTAGAGGAGCATTTGGTTTTGATAACTTTTTCTGTTAATCTGGGTTTGAATTTGCACACTAATACGTAACGATACACTTTTCAAAAAAAAAAACCCCACCAAACAAAAACGAACAAAAAAACAGTGCTGTATGACTGGCTTGTTTGTCACTTGATGGAACAACCTTTATGGTTTACTGTTTCTATAGTCACTGGATAGGGGATTAATGTGGCAGCAATACATCCAGTTAGTTCTGTTTTGGAGCTTCTGTCACAGTCAGATACGGACCCCAAGAAAATGAGTGAGGAGTTAAAAGCTGTATAGGAGACACTGTAGCATTCCTATAAAGAAGGAAATTCAGTAGTTTTCATAACTGAGTTACTATGTAGAATACAGTTCCCACTAAAGTCAGGGCTGTCTAACTAGGGACTTCTCATCAGCTCTGGAGTTAATTGGTTTATATAGCCAGCAACACAACCTTCTTATCCAGTAGGTATTGGAATATAATCAGTGTCAGGGAAAAGTTTTATTTTTAGGTTGTAAAAGCTTATGGATTAAATTACAGTAATTGTTTTCTATGTAATTTGGACAAGGAAGAGGTGGTTTGCAGTCTTTGAAGTAAGACTTTTGAATTGGTTTAGAGATAGCTGATGTAAACATTTGTTGGGAATCTATGTGTTTCTTATATGAAGAATCCTAATGAAATTGTGGAAAGC